TAAAAAAAAAAAAAAAAAAAAAAAAAAAATGAAAATTTCCATAGAAAATTTTGGTAGTAGTAATTTTTGTTTGGGTTTTGTCTTTTGGGGTGAGGCGGCTGCTGGTTTTCAATGCAATTCTTCTATAGAAAAATATACTTTTCTGAACAGTTCTACTACTTTGTTTCTGTATTAATGACTACTGATTTGAGAGCAGAGCTTTGGACTCTGAATAGTGGGGAAAAATACCTCAGTAAAACACATTTCCCCCTCCCACCAACTATCCCAAACCAAAAATCCCTGCTACAATTTGTAGACAGTTGGTCATAATTAAACACAAGTTACCTTTCATTCCTTATTCCTTCACTGGAAGGCCACTAGCAACATACAGCTTCCTTTATGCAATGGGTTGGTTTGGGTATGTTGGTTCTTTTTATTGTATTTCTGGCTCTGTTGCATATACCTTATGAAATCTGCCAATTTTCTCAAAGATATAGAAAGCTGTGCAATCAAGTGAATTGAAAGAGTGCAATTTCACACTACAGAATTGTGAAAATCCAAGAAACCATGAACTTCCACAGCCAGTCTGAAAGGACAGCGTACTGAACTGCAAGTGGCTTCACATTAGCACTGCCCCAAGATATTGTTTTAAAGGAAGATTTTTCTCAGGGATCTTACAATCACAGCTCAGAAACAGATTCCTGCTTTTCTGTCCAATTTTGCCCAGACTATTGAATGTTTTCTTCACCTTTATTCACAGTTGTCCCATCATGCCAGCTTTAACTGACTCTACTTCCATTTCATCCAATGTACTTGCTTCAGTAAAAGTATATAGTTTGCCAGATGTATAGCACTGTGTATGTTCCACTCATTTAATATAAATATCTAAATCTAATCTGCTGAGCAAAGTTACAGGCTCTTTCTGAAGTTGATTTAGCCAGAGAATATTAATGTAAGCAAAAAACAAAATCACCACATTAACTGAATCGTGCATCTTTTTAAAGACTAAAACATTTAAATGCATTTGAGAACACAAACCGCATAACAAACCAAAAAGATGTTACTGCATTTCACAGTGCTGTGCCACTGACTCATTGCAGAGCATCAAGATGCAGAGCAAAACTGTCAAGAGGAGAGAAGACAGGACTCTGCTTAAATTGGAAGAGAATTCATGAAGAATTGATGTTAATCAATAATGTTAAAATGGAAACAAACATGGTTCCTTCTCAGAAAGCCTCCCACCATTTCATGCTTTGAACTACAGTCACCAAAACAGAATGATACTGGATCATCACAGCTGGAAAGATGTAACCAAACACCATTACATAACCTCCACCCCCTTCTCCTTGATAAATGCAAACAGCTTAAAGAGACTGCATAATGCCTTCAGGTTTATCCCACACCCTCTGCTGGGGAAGCTGATAACGGGATTATAAACAAGAGGAGGCAAGAGACTTGCAATAGGTCATGAAATGCAGGGGTAAAGCAAGGAGAAGAAATTTCCCTGGCAGCTTCTCACTCCCATCAAGCAGTCCCTTACACCAAGGGTCAGCAAAATATAAACCTGCAGGCTAGATCAGGCCTGCAGTCACCGGATCTGGCCCATGGAGCCAGAATGCTTTGTCTATTCCCTGGAAGTTGCACACAGCATCAGCACTTCTCCCAGCTCTCCAGATGGAGTGTGGGTGCAGCTTTCAGCCAGTGGGGAACCGAGCTGGGGCTTGGCAGCTTCCAGCTGTGCCCACACCAAAGCCAAAAGGTGGGGGGGAGGTGCACAGAGAGAAGCATCAATAGGACACAGCTTCCAGCTGCCCAGACCTGGCACAGCTTATGCCCCAGCTGGTGAGCAGGGAGCTTGGAAATGCAGTGGCAGCAGCAGCACAGCTCCCAGCTGCCTAGGCTTGGCATGGGCGCAGACAAACCCCCACCACTACTAGCATGCCAAAGCCACCTAGCCTGTGCCAGACTGGAATCAAGTTGTTCTGGCCTTTGCAGCTTGAAAAGGTTGCTGGGCCCTGCCTTACACTACTCCACGCTAACCCAACCTGAGTGCCTAAGCTTCCATTCACAGTCTTTGGACTGTGCAATCCCCAAATCCTACTTTTTTAGCCAAAGGGGAGTGGGAGGAAGTAACAGCATCTGTTTTTTCTGTGGAGAAAGAAAGTTATTTTTGGAAATACAGTAACAACATCCATAAAGCAATATGCACCTCAGGGAAGAGTTCTCCCTTCATTTCTTACCTTTTTTGATTTAACCCATTTAAAGTGGCTCTAGCTAATGAAAGGTACGGGCCCATTTAAATTCAAATCCCAGAGACAAAGACCCTAGAGTCCCTCAGACAGCAGAGATTCAACAGAAGCCAGGCTCAACAGCTCTAGAGAATGAATCCTTCTGTCCACCTAAACGCTTACAGCAGTAGCAGTAGTGCCAGCTTTCCCATGCTAGCCCTCTTACATGCTTCATTATTGATCTAGGCAGAGAGGAGGGAGAAAAGAATGTGATCTTGTTGGCAGTCTTTGCTGAACAGCTTAAAGGGCAACAAGAGAACCAATAAACCTGGTATATTGCTAAAAGTGGAATGACACTAGCCACCTACTGCACGTGATATTGTCACCATGCAGCTATCACTCAGTAATGACTAACATGTCAAAATCCCCTACCTCCGCCCAACAATGCATTTTCTAACAAAAACGGTCATTATGGTTCAATTTTTACATAATTTAAATCACAATAAAAAAAAATTTGGTTTAAAACTTTGATTTACTGCCAAACTAAAACTTCTCTAATCATTGGGGAAACTTCAATGATTAAAGTTACATTGCAGAGGAAATTTCTATGCAATTCTGAGACTGCAAAAAAATGCTCCAGGCTGGATTCATAATGATGCCTCAGTGTCTGCATAGACACCAGAGTACTGATGATCACTGCTCCATTTTCTGATCCACCCATCCCAGTGTGATGACCCACAGTCTGAAACACTGTTTAGGATCAAGCACACTGTTCAGTCATCACACCTGATGATTATGGCAGCTACTAATAAATGTATATAGCTACATTGCCATGGGGCTTGTTTGCTGCTCTGGTGTAAAGTAAACAACCCAACAACTTATCTTTGCTTTGAAGTGTTAGCAGTTTGCAAGAAGCAGTGAATACAAGACTAAATACAAGGAATGTATTTCCCCACTGAGTAGCTTCAATGTGGATTTTTTCCACAATAAGGTGGGTGAAAACTGGCTTATGAGACACACCCAGAGAGTGGTGCTGGATGGGTCAGTTTCTTCCCGGAAGGATGTGGGCAGTGTTGTCCCCCAAGGCTCTGCCTGTTGACCAGTACTATTTAATATCTTCATCAGCTATCTGGATGAAGGGGTTGAAAGCACCTAGTCCAAATTTGCAGATGACACTAAACTATGGGGCACAGTAAACACACGGGAGGGCAGGGAGTGAATTCAGGCAGATTTGGACAGACTGGGGAAGTGGGCAAATCAGAACAGGATGCAATTCAACAAGGATAAATGCAGGGTGCTGCACCTGGGGAGAAAATCTCCAACACCTGTAGACTGAGGGGTACCATTCTGAGCTCCACAACAGTGGAAAGAGATCGCAGAGTTCTGGTTGACGCAAAAATGAACACGAGTCCCCAGCGTGACAAGGTAATAGGCAAGGCTAACCCCATTCTTTCTTGCATCAGCAGAAGTATCACAAGCAGGTCTAGGGAAGTGATAAGTCCCCTCTGTGCAGCACTGGTGAGGCCACAGATGGAGTACTTCATCCAGTTTTGGGAGCCACATTTCAAAAGGAATGTGGATAACCTTGAGAGGGTTCAGAGGAAGGCTACTCACATGGTTAAGGGCCTGCAGGTAAGACCTATGAAGACGGGCCAAAGGATCTGAATCGCTTCAGCCTCTGCCAAAGAAGGCCGAGAGGCTATCTTGTGGCAGCCTACAAACTCATCCGGGGGGGGGGGGGGC